ACAACTGCTCAGGGTCCCAGGCTTAGCATTAGCCCTGACTAGAGGTTTCACAGACAGCCAAGCCCACCCATGATACTTTATTTTATGAGAGAGGACCTATTCCACAGAGGGGGCAGCTCCCAGGAGAGCAGAAGTCAAGGGGCATCAGCAGGTGGGGGCAAAGAAGGGCTCTGTACCAAAGCCCCCATCTGGGTCTCACTTACGTAGATCAGGCTGGTCTTCAACTCAACAGAGCTCACCTGCCTCTGCTACCCCAGTGCTGGGATTAGTGTGCACTCAGCTGTGGCTCCACTCTTTAAGCAGTATTCAGAGAGCTTTCTCCTCTCCTGGGTTATTGTGTTTAGTGCTCTGAGCTCAGGGTAAAATGCAGGCTTTTTCTTTTTGTCTTTTCTTTGGCAGTGCTGGAGATTGAACCAAGGGCCTCACCACAATGCCAGCACTTTGCTACTGAGCTATACACTGCCTGCTTCAAGTTTGAAGAGGGTCTTGTCAAGCCGCTCAGGCTTTGTGATCCTTTGCCTCAGTCTCCCGAGTGATGCAACTATAGTGTGAATCACCACTCACAGCAAAATGCAGTGTTTTTTTTAAAGACTTGTTTACATGTGTGTGTGGCCATGCATGTTTGAACATATGTAGGTTCACCACATGCCTGCAGTGGCCAGAAAAGGACACAAACAGCCTGGAACTGGAGCTAGAGACAATTATTAGCTGCCATGAGGGTGTAACTCTGGCTAAGCCTGGAAACACACTAAAGAGAAATGGGGAGCCAGGAGGCAGCAGCTGTGCAGACTGGAGCCTCAGGAATGCAACACCTACAGAACCCCGAGGCTGCCCCTTACTGGAAGAGGAAGACTGGCAAGATGGCAGGAGCAGCCTCCAGAGGAGGCCTTGAGCAGCTGTGGGAAGCAGAGCTAAAGCATTCATCAAACAGGAGGCTTCCAGAGCTGACAGGGACAGGGAGACCGAGCACATCTCAGCACCCCAGCTACAGCGTGGAGACACACACACACACGGGAAGTGGATGGATGCCGAGAAGGTGCTGAGCAGGTTCTCTAAGGCTGGCCTGTGTGCTCTCTGGCAAAGCAGAGAGAGAACAGTGTGGAGAAATGGAGTAGGAACTTGTGTGGGGTAGGAAGGAAGGAACAAAAATTGAGACAGATGGGCAAGCCACCATGAGTGGGACTTCATCAGAAGCAAGGAGAGTGGGAAAAGGTACTTTATAGCAAAGGGCAGAGAAATGAAAACCATGAGGAATGAACTGGAGGCATCTCCTCCAATAGACTCTCTATTAAGGTCTGAGTTATGGCCCCAAGACCACATATATCACCACCTGCAATGCCTCAAGATGCAGCCAGAACCCTGCCAGCTCCTTACTTTCCCTGTGCAAATCAAATGATGTCACCAGAGCAACACCTTGGTGACCCCTCCTCTCCCCAGCATGCCCATGTTTTGTGTCCAAGAACAAGGAGGAGCTCACGATGGCTCTCCTTGACAAAACATTCCCATTGTGCAAAGAACTGACTGAAGATGACACTGAACCCCACACTGAGAGTCAGGCTACTGGTCCCTGTATAGGGAGGTGGTAATGGCCTGGTTAAGGGTGCTCAAGTCCAAGAGGAATTTTCAATTCAAACTCAGGCCTTTGGCCCCAAAGCCTGAGAGGGAGGGCCCAGAGCGGGCTTGGAAGTCCTCACCTTGGACCAGTCATAGCTGGAAGCATAGGCAAATATGTTCCCGTTGTGATTGAAGCAGCAAGCTGCTATGGGCTGGTCTAACTGTTCCGAAGTCTTCAGTTTTGTCCTGGCGTCTTTGTCCCAGAAGCTGAACCTACCATCAGACCCCACAGTGGCAAGGGTGCCGTGGACAGGATGGAAGGCAATTCCGTTCACCTGCAAAGGTTGATATGCACAGTGAGAAGCAGAAGCAGGTTGCTGCCAGTATAGCTCCCAGCTCAAGTCAAGAAACCAAGCACATGGGCACATTTCACTCCTCAGCCATGCTGCCTAAGGCAACTGGCAGCTCAGAACTAAACCCACCTCAGCAGCTCCCCAGATAGGAATTCACATTTGCACCCACTTGCTGCTCCAAGCCATAACCTCAGCAAAACGTGTGGGATTTCTTTTAGTAAACAAATTTCTTGAACATCACTATGTGTGGAAATTGTCTATGGACACCCACAAGGCAGAAATGCCAATGACCCATGTCACAAGCTCACATTCCAAGCACATCTAGAACAGAGCCAGTCAACAGGTGTGTAAAGAACACTCAAGTCTGCAAACACAAACACAGGCTCTTCTAGGACTTGTGGTCCCAATGCACTCAGAGAGCCAGCTCCAAGTCTAGTTCCAGGGGGTTTCTTTCTCTTCATGATGGAGTGCTGCCAGAACGTACTGCATAGATGTCTTGAGGAGCTGAAGTGTTGGTGCCGTTGGATCGATGGCATTTGAAGGTGAAGTTATCTTTGGCCCTGAAAATCAGAGGACATCTCAGTTTCCTCTCAAAACCAGTTGGGAAGAGCATCCCAGGCAGTTGAGTGTCACTTACGGGTTTGGAGGGTTGATGTAGTGAATGGCAACTCTGCCCTCAATACTTCCCAGAGCAAAACCTGTCGGCTTGTTCTGTTTGTCTTTAAAAATAGCCACACATCGATGCTATGATTAAAATAAAAGGGGAAGGATCATTATCAGCATGTAAGTAAATGTTAGTTAACATGAACAAAGGTACCCTATTTTTAGGTTTTAGAAGAACCCAAACCACGACTCAAATACAAAGGTACTGTTGTCTCCCTGCTTTCTAACCCTCCTAAGCTCCAGGACCCATCTGTGCACAACTGAAGCAGCCCCTATTCAGCACCGCTCTCCAAGCCCAAGGCTCCAGCCCTGCTTGGCTGTGCTCAGAGCAGGGTCTCACTTTGATCAGCGGGCACCCTTCAGGTCAGACACCCAATGTCTGTCCTGTTTCCCTAGCCAGGAGGCAGTGTAGCAGCCAGTCCTCTTACAGGGAACCCTGGACAGGTACACACAGCAAAGTCAGTATTTTGGTTATCACATGTACAAGGACCCGGTTAGGCTGTTGTCCTGTCCTGGCTCACTTCAGTTACTACACCAGCCCCTAAGTTCATCCACTGTGCAATGACAAGCTTCCTTCATTTTAGGGGTGAACACCCACTCACTTGGCTATCACGAGCCTACTATACTAAAAGGAGTTTTTTGTTTTTGTTTTTTTGTTTTTGTTTTTCGAGACAGCGTTTCTCTGTGTAGCTTGGCACCTTTCCTGGAACTCACTCTGTAGCCCAGGCTGGCCTCGAACTCACAGAGATCCGCCTGCCTCTGCCTCCTGAGTGCTGGGATTAAAGGTGTGCGCCACCACCGCCCGGCTAAAATAGGCATTCTTTAACATCTTTGGTTTGTTTTTTGAGACAGGGTTTCTCTGTGTAGCCCTGGCTTGTTGTAGAATATTATTTTAAGGTATGTTACTTTTGTTTACGTTGCATTTGTTTAACTCTGTGAAGCTGTGTTACTTTGCCTGTCTAAAACACCTGATGGTCTACTAAAGAACTGAACAGCCAATAGCAAGGCAGGAGAAAGGATAGGCAGGGCTGGCATACCTGCTGGCCAGGTCGTTCTCTTTGGAGAAATTTTGAATCGGGCCATTGGTTTTGCTACAAATTCTTCACACCCTTTAAAAGATAACCCCTTAACAATACAAATCCCTCACTAGTCTGTTCCCTGTAGGTTTTTCATTGCTGGTTGCTTCCTTCCTAGGCTGAAGCTTGTCTGATGTGGTCCCCTGGGTTATTCACTTCTTGCCTATGTTTTTGTGTGTCATTTCCAAGAAATCATCGCATACAGTTTTATGTAACGGCTAGGAAGACTTGGGATTGGGGGGTGTTAGGAAGAGCCAGAAAGGAACTGGGGAAGCCTGCTGGTTGAGGAGGGAGAGGAGAAAGGTGACTCAAGAGTGACCTCTATTCGAAGGGCAAAGTGCTCCGAATTCCTGATGGCAATGCCCCAGGGACTTACCAAATGCTTTCTGTGATGCCATGGACACAGGGCTTCGTGCAGAAAGGGAGAAGAGTGGGAGGTGTGGGGAGGAAGACTCTGAACTGCGAAGGGAAGGACCAGAGATGGTTCTGGAAGAGGCAAGGATGGCCTGCTTCCCAGGATGAACCAGACTAGGGCATGCTTTAGTGAAGTGCTAGAGAGAAGACTTAGTGATGGACCATGTCAGGTTCCTGCAAAGGCTGCAGGGCAAGAGGGCTCACCATGGAACCAGCCTCCAGAGAACCTGGCCAGCACCCAGAGGAGAAGCTGCATGTGCAGACAGACCCTGCGGGAAGAAGGCTAGGATGGTTCAGCCCTAGACACAGGCTAGGAGAAGACCGAGAGCAGGGAAGCAGGAAGGCCTTGCAGGACTACGGCCAGGGTAGGGCTGAGCTGGAGCGACAGAACTGGTTCACCCAGATGGGCTGGGAGCACTCAGTAGCACTAAGCCACTTGGGGGGGATTTTTGGGGGACAGGGAAGTCTGGCTCAGCCATGGATGTAAGTGCTTATGTAAAACTGTGCTTGTTTCTTTTTTCCTTTTTTCAAGACAGGGTTTCTCTGTGTAGCCTTGGTTGTCCTGGAACTCACTCTGTAAACCAGGCTGGCTTCGAACTCACAGAGATCCGCCTGGCTCTGCCTCCCTAGTGCTGTGATTAAAGGTGTGTGCCACCACCACTCCACTCTGTGTTTGTTTCTTTAAATTCACTTTCTCTGAACATATCAGCAAGCTTTTTCAAAACAGGTACTGTATACCTGTGCCCCACACAAGCACCATCTTGCACGCAGCAGGTGCCAAATGTATGTTTCTCAATGGTCTCTGACCCACCTGGTGTTTCAGTGGAGACTCTATCCTCCTGAATTCAGAAGGCTGATTCTCTAACTGGTAGACAATCAGGCCTCTCTCTGCAGTGGCCACCACGGCCATTGGGTATATCTGGGGAACAGAAGAAAGATACACAACACTTGACATGAAGACAACATTTTAGTCACAAAATTCTAATGTTTCAAAAAGTTTAATTCAGTGGTAGCAATGTATTTATGAAAACACAGAGAAACCACACCTGTAAGCAGAACACTCACACATATTTGTTTTACTCTTGGTGGTGGGGATGTTTTGGGTTTTGTTATTGTTTGTTTTGCTACACAGCATAGGCTGGTATCTTGAACCCTGATCAAGACTGGCACATTGTTACCATGACCTTTAGAGTTTTTAAACTATAAAATGTGGATGCTTAAAAAGTATTCTGAGACACCAGTGAGAATGGGTGGTCATCTCTACCCTTCATATGATAACAGCCTGTATTCAGTGTGTTTTCTCCCTGTCTTTGAGTACCCGAAGTTTCTTTCCTTTTTTTTTTTTTTTTTGTTTTTAAAAGGAGCTCTGGTAAAGTTTTATTAAAGAAAAACTTTCCTGGTTTACTTTTCACCAGTCTGTTCTGGCATGCTTCTAATAATATCAGAATCACCTGGGTCAATGATAGCCAGTGTGCATACTCTGTAGTATTTTCCACATGCTGTGCCCAATTCAATGTTATTGCCACTGTAGTGATGAACACCAGTTTTAGCCAACATGGCACAGTATTCTATTTCAGATTTCCTCAAAGCTGGACAGTTGTTGGCAAGGATAACCAATTTCGCTTTGCCCTGTCTGATCATCTTCAGAGTCTGTTTGTACCCCAGCACGTACTTTCCACTTTTCATAACAAGTTGGAGCCTAGAGTTGATTGACTCCAGAGACTTTTTCATCTTCTTTGCGGCCACCATCTTCCTTTCTTAGGTGCGGGACAGCCCCCAACCAAGACCAGCCGCCAAGATGGCCAGGGAGCTAGAAAAGCGTTTCTTTCCTTTTTGAGACAGGGTCTCACTATGTGCACCCTTGCTAGCCTGGAACTCGAGCTGTAGACCAGGCTGGCCTAGAACTCAGAGACTGTCTTGCCTCTGCCCTGACAACTGGGATTACAGGCATAAGTTAACATGCTTGGTCAGGTATTTTCTACATACAGTTTGTGAACATCAGCCCCCACTGTGCACTTGTCTGAGGATGGATCTCCCCACTGTGGAATTACCTGGGTAGTTGTAACAAACCCTAAGACTTAAGTAGACGTGGAGAAAGCACTTCAGTTTCCATCCCACTCAGGCAGTCCCAGAGATCAGAACCATCCACAAAGATCTCTGCATTCTTCTACCATCATACCATGCTGTCTCCCCACATGAGGGAGGACAGGTGACTAGGGGCACACGCTCAAACAAATGTCTAAAAGTCCAGTGCTTTCATCTCCAGTCCCAATGAAAACATCCGGAACGCAGCACTTAGTACTATAGGACAAAGGCAGCCCCAGATGTCTGTACGAGTAGTCTGCTAAAGTCGAAGGCTTTCCATCACCTACAAACCGCAGGAGGCCACAGAGAGCTGCATTTGCTCAGCTGTTGGAAAGAAGCGAGGCTCTTTACTTACCACATCTGCACAGTAACAGCGCTCAGGGAGTTGCAAGACCATCATAGGATTTGACGACCGGGTATCCCAAAACTGAAAGCCAAGAGGAGCAGCAGTGAGAGAGTGCTGAGGGCCGACGTCTGCACGGACTGACAGCCATCTTCAGCGTACACCCTCCACCACACAGCATACCTTTAGAGTCTTATCCCAGCTCCCCGTCATCACACAGCTGTAGTTCGGGGCTTTGATCCAATGTATAGTCTTAACAGGAGCATCATGCTGTTAAAAGACAGACACCAGGGAGACACTTGAACAACCAGAGCAATAGCTGAGTTGTGGAAATTCAAATACTAGGTTTTATTCAACAATAACAAAATCAAAGGGCATTTAGTGCTTTCCCAGGACCCAAGGGTGTTACCAGGGGCTTGCACCTATGATCTGTCTTAACACAAGCTTACCCTCACTCATAATTAACTGTGACAGTAAGGCCCTTCCTAAGAACTATCTAGAAGTATCTAATGGGGACTGCTACTAGTGCTGCTGTTTACTAAGATGCATCACTGAGGAGGCTGAGAGACGCCTTCAGCTGAGGGCTGCGAAGCCCGTGTCAGAAGCCTCCCTACCCTTCACTAGAGCGGCTCTGGCAGGGCCTTCACTCCTCTCTGGTCTTCACACTGAGACCCAGCCTGCTGCCCGCGGTGATAATGCTCCGCAGCCACATGGCAGGCACCAGCCAACACCCGCTGAAGGACAAGGGAACAATGATCGTCAAGTCACACACAGGGGCTGGAAGCCAAACGGGTCAGGACCGTCTGCTCTTGTCTTTACCAACGCTTGTCACCACCTACGTGGACATGGGAGACCTGTGGCAAAGTCCTCTGCAAAATCTGGTACAAGTGCAGGTGCTTACAATGTAAGCCCGACTGTTTAGTGCTGTCTCCCGAGCCCACCCACGAAGACTTCTCACCTGTGCTATCTGGATGGCCTGGTTGCTGTTCAGGTCCCACATCTTGGCTGTTTTATCACACGATGCTGTAAATACTTTGCTCCCATCCTAAAATAAAACAGACAGTCTGCTCAAGGAGCAAAAGTTAAGTCTCCACGACACCCAAGAGCTGGGTCATGCATCTGCTCTGCATTTTCCTATATTTAAGAGCTAGCACACAGCAAACTAGTCTTGTAAGTAATACAACTAGAAACTGACTACTAAGAGCTCACATAGAAACAGGATCTCTGAGAAATCAAGTGGTGCCCAGCGGTGGTAGAACATGCCTTTAATCCCGCCTACACCTACCAAATTCAAAAGCTTTGGAAACCAAGACACTTCTGGCCTTAAGCATTTTGCTACAAAAGGATAAATCTGCTGAGATATTGGGAGCTCGGAAAGTTAAGGCATGTAGATCTGAGTTCTGTGCCAGCCAAGGCTGCACTATGAGACCTTATGGTGGTTTGAGTGAGAACGGCCCCCATAGGCTCTTGTATTTGAGGTTTCAAGCCATTCTCAGTGTTTCTGCCTCCTACCTGCAGATCAAGATGGGGACCTCTTAGCTGTTCCTGCTGCATGGGCTTTTGCTCTGCCATCATGGACCCTAACCTAAGTCATACGTTTAATTAAACACTTCATTTTAGAAGTTGCCTTGGTCATGGTGTTTTGTCACAGCAATAAAAGAGTAACTAATACAGACCCTGTTTCAAAAAACCAAAAGGAAATTAGACATACATCACTCCAGCAGACGTCGAGCACTGGCCCAGTGTGCATCTGCTGGGCTTTCGGAATGGTCTGCCCGCTATCTTGTACTTCCCAGCAGCGAACCTGTAAGAATAAGACAGGTTAATGAGAACAGGGCGGTTCCTGGTCTCTGGTGTGCACACATCCAGTACGGTTCACTGTAGGCTTCTTGCATCAACCCAGCTATCTGACTTTCAAGAGCAAACCAAGTGAAATGTACAAGCAAGCAGTTCACTTCCTACTGCTGAGCCACAGAAGCAAACAAAGGGTACCGCTCACACCTAACACCACAGCTAAGCTGCTTGCTCAGCAGTCACTCAGGCCTGAAGAAGTCCATCTTTCTACTATAATGCTTCTGATATTTTCTTATTATACATTTTGCAGATTTTGTAACTGTGGTTAGAAAATAAATTCCACCAGAAAGACTAGTTAAGTTCTATGCATTCAGACTTCCTTCAATGCACACACATCTAAAAAACAACTAAAACCCAAACTGAAAACCGGGAGGAACACAAGGTGGGACCCTACGCCTCTTCACTTCTGTAGCTGCAGCTTTCTTCACCTGCATTCTCACCCTGTCCAGCTTTGAATGGACTTCTAACTTGGTTTAGTTTTTTGAGGTAAGGTCTCTCACATAGCCCAGGCTGGCTTTGAACTCACTACGAAGCTGAGGATGACCCTGAACTTGTGATCCTCCTGTTCCATCTTCCAGGGGCTGGGATAACAGGTGTGTGCCACCAAACCTGCTTTTCTTCTAATCTTTAAACAGCAAATGAAATGAGTAAAATAAGCTTGCTCACCTTCACATCCTCCCTGCTGCAGGCAGTTTGGAATCTTTCCCCAAACTCTTCTATATAGCCAAGTCTGGTGGTCCTATTCAGCAGTACCAGGTCTTACCTAAGTAGGCCCCTTAAACTTGGGTTTTCTGTGGTACTGGGAATGGGACACAGGGCCTCACACAGCCCTGGTCCTGAGGACACCAAGCTTAGCTGTGCAGATCTGTGCCCTGGTTACACACACACACACACATCCACGTGAAGCCGATGTCCTGAAGCACAGACATGAGCAGTCTCTAACTCTGGGGACGTGAAGGGAAGTATCAGGAGTGTCCCTCAAGTTCCAGATGCAGAGTCAACAGGACAAAGGACTTAAATAGAAAGACTTGTCAAGAGCTGCTGCAACTAGCCTGGCTACCAGCAGTACTTAGGCTCCAGCTTGCCCCCCTCATGCTGACTCATCAAAGCTGCTTACTTTTACAAATTTGGTAGGGAAAAAAAAGGAGCCTACCATACACACTTCTTTCTGATCATGAATGTGGCAGAGTGGTCCTGATCTGCTGTTGTGTGGAGCCTCCTGACACCTACACCCATTTCCCACGTTTTCCTTCATGCACTCACTGAGTTTAGTGTACAAAGTGGCTAATAACAGTCTGAAGAACCTGCCCTGTTATTTAAAGTCTTGAAGGTATTTAAAGTTCAAAATTCACCTGAAGAACATTTGCTGAATGCCAAGAAAGGTTCTTAACAAACAATATAAGGCCAGGTAGTGGTGGTGCACGCCTTTATTTCCAGCACTTGGGAGGCAGAGGCAGACGGATCTCTGGGTTCCAAGCTAGTCTGGTCTACCGAGTGAGATCCAGGACAGCCAGGGCTACACAGCGAAACAAAACAAAAAACCAAAAACAACAGTAACAAAAACCCTCAAACGAACAGTATAAATAGTGCAGTTGAGTCAGGAATGGGGAACCTTTGGCAGTGCTGGGCTGTGGTGCTGCCATTCAGAAGGACACACAGCTACTACACCATGTCTTAGAAAGGGCCATACCTTAGCCTCGACTCACTCACAGACAGAACGCCTGAGAGGCACTTACATCATTAGCCCATGATCCCGCAATAAGGAAATTCCCTGGTAAGGTTGGTGGGCTGAAAGACAGACAACCGATGCTATCATCAGGAGAAGACGTTACTTCGATATCCTGGGGAGGAAGGTCAGAGTTAAAGAGCACACATCATCACCATAATAAGGCAGCTTCCCTTCTCACCCGACACCTCGAGCTCATCTCTCCTTGCCTTCAGAGCTAACTGGATCTGACCTTCCCTCACTTTGATCAAAAACAGGAATAATAAGCAGGTCAGGGAAAATACTAGAGCTGCTGGCTTAGAGTCACGTTAATGAAAGGCACAAAGGCAGCATCTGCACAAGGTGGCCCCCACCAACTCCAAGTGTTTGGCCAAGTCCCCTCCCCCCCCAGTCCTCACTTTCCGCAAACAGAACAGTGCACATTCTCCAGGACTGCTCAGAGAGGCCACACTAAAATTATGCAGAAGTGGCCAGTGAGATGGCTCTGGTTTAAGTCTGTGTCTGCTGCAGTTCTCAGCTGGCCCTGGGAAGCTTTGGCTTTCACAGGTAGACTGGACAGTTGTGGCAAGCTGAAAGTGAGGACAAGATACTAATTCTGCAGAGGATGAGTTTTGTGCTCCACTGTTTCTCAGCTTCATCCCACAGGCATCTTCTAGGCCAGCCAGAGACCCCCAACCCCATCCCGCTTCTCTTCACCCCACAGGAGGCTCCCAGGCTCTCTGCCTCTCCAGCTGCCAGCAGTACAGGGCATGTGGCCTGACTCTTTTTGTACTCCCTTTGAGGATCTGGGTGATACCTTCATTGGGTTGTGATTATCTGTAGTTGTGCTCCCAAACATGCTGGTCCCACCAGTCCCAAATCCAGAGGCTGACCCAAACAGACTCATGTTGGCTGTAAGACACAAAGTGGAAGATGTTGAGGACAGGCCCTCCTTAGGTGATACAGAGCACATCGCAGAGGGACGAGCACTCTGATGCTAAGCCAGGCCTTGCTCTTCAGTAGAGGTTTAAATATGCAGCAAGTAGAATGTCTTCTGAAGGAGCCTTTTTGCCTAGCACAGTACAATCCCACGCTCAGGCACAGGGAGGCCAGCCTGGTCTATACAGTGAGTTCCAGGACGGCCAGGGCTACACTGATCCCGGCTCATAAACAACCTCTGGTCTTTTTAGAGCAGTTTTAGCCTCTACAAAGGAGGGACAATTCCCCACACTCCTCTCTTTTGGAACGATGCCCTTGCCAGCACTAAGGCACCAACACTGACATGCTATGGCATCTTAGTCAGCAACCAGGAGAGAGCCATTCACTCTCCAGAGACAACTACACACCAGGCACCCAGCAGGAGGCAGAAGGGCCTCCTGAGCTCAAGGTCCCGTCCTGGGAGCTCCCTTCCCTCCTGTACTCTAGGTCAACGTCTAC